TAAAATAATGCAAATCCGGAATGAAGGGGAAGAAGTGGAAAAGGGAAGAGGAAAGAGGGAATAAGAGGGAGGGGAAGGACTGAAGAAAACGGGGGGGGGGGGTAAGGGGGAATGAGAGGGAGGAGAAGGACTGAAGAAAACGGGGGGGGGGGTAAAGGGAGGAGGGGGAAGGGAGGGAATGGGGTGGAAAGAGGAGGGAGGAAGAGAGGAAAGGAGGCAGAAGAGCGAGGGAGGAAGGGGGAGAGAAGGGAAGAGGAGAGAAAGAGGGAGGGAAGGAGGTAAAAAAAAAAGAAGGGAGGAAAGGAGAGGAGGGGGGAAGGGACAGATAAGGAGGAAGGAGGAAGAGAGAGGAGAAAGGAGGAGGGAGGAAGGGACAGAAAAGGAGAAGGAAGGAGGAGAGAAGTAGGGACAGAGAAGGAGGAGGGAAAAAGGAACAGAGAAAGAGAAGAAAGGAGAAAGGAAGGTACGGATAAGGAGGAGGAAAGAGAAGAGAGGGAGATGGTGGGAAGAGAAAAGAACGAGCAGATAAAGAGGAGGAAGGAGGAGGGAGAAAGGGACATAAAAGAAGGTACATAGACAAGGAAGGAAGGACAGAGAAGGAGGTAGAAAGAGAAAGGAGGAAGGGACAGATAAGGAAGAAGAAAAAGAGAGGAAGGGTCAGAGATGGAGAAAGAAATAAGACGGAGAAACGAACAGAGACGGAGGAGAGAGAAGGAAACAGAAAGGGGAGACAGAGAAAAGGGGAAAGAGAAAGAGAAAGAAAAGGCGAAGAAGATTAAAAAAAAAAAAAAAATGAATGATACATATGACAGAGGATGCAAGTGACACAGCGACCGGAAGCAAAGGCAGCATATGGCCATAGCGTTTTGTTTGCAAAGATAAATATTTTGCTTTGGAATTTGACACAGGCGAAGACATGCTCGGAACAGGGGTTTGCGAATAATGATCAATATAAAAAAACAGGGAGATTATTAAGCAGTCTCCTAGGTGGGGAAAGGAAATGGAAAAAGGAAAATAAACTTTTAAAAAATAATAAATAAATGTGGGATACAAGAATGAATTCACAACCATTTTATATTCCGCCTCCAGTTCTGAACTCAGGTCAACTTTCTCTTTGCTCCCCCTCTCTGCTCCTCTCTCTCCCTCTCTGCTCCTCTCTCTCCCTCTCTGCTCCTCTCTCTCCCTCTCTGCTCCTCTCTCTCCCTCTCTGCTCCTCTCTCTCCCTCTCTGCTCCTCTCTCTCCCTCTCTGCTCCTCTCTCTCCCTCTCTGCTCCTCTCTCTCCCTCTCTGCTCCTCTCTCTCCCTCTCTCCCCTCTCTCTCCCTCTCTCTCCTCTCTGCTCCTTTCTCTCCTTTCCACCTCTCTCTCCCCTGTCCATGTTTCTACCGTCTCCACTTCTCTTTCTCCTCTCCTCTCCACCTCTCTCCACCTATCTTCCCCCTCCACCTCTCTCCTCTCTCTTTCTTCTTCCTCTCCCTCTCTCTCCCCTCTCTCTCCTCCCCTCTCCACCTCTCTCCCCTCTCCTATTTTTTCCTCTCCCTTCTCTCTCCTTTCTCTCTCCTCTCCACCTCTCTCCCCTCTCCTCCTCCTTCCTCTCCCTCTTTCCCCCTCTTCCTCGCCCTCTTCCTCAGCTGAACCCTCTACCGTCTCGCGAGTCCTGACTGATTACCCACGACGGCGACAGTAAAGAGGCTTGAATTCCTTCTCCCTCCCCTCATTCCCCTCACTTCCCCTCACTTTCCCTTCCTTGATTCCTGTCTCTCCCCTCATTTCCCCTCACTTCCCCTCACTTTCTCTTCCTTGATTCCTCTCCCTCCCCTCACTTCCCCTCACTTTCTCTTCCTTGATTCCTCTCCCTCCCCTCACTTCCCCTCACTTTCTCTTCCTTGAATCCTCTCTCTTCCCTCATTTCCCCTCACTTTCTCTTCCTTGATTCCTGTCTCTCCCCCTCACTTCCCCTCACCTTCTCTTCTTTCTTTGATTCCTTCATTTCTCTTCGCCTTCTTTCCCTTGTTTTCCCCTCTCTCCTCTCTCCTATCGACGTCGCTTCCCCTCAGTCCCCTTTCTTCCTCTCCTTTCCTATCCTTCCCCTCCATTCGCCTCCCCAACCCCTTCTATCGCTTCCCTGCGTTTCCCCTCATCATTTCTCTCTCTCCTCCCCCTCCTTTACTCCCCCTTTTTCTCACCCTCCTCCCCTCATCTCCTCTTTCCCCTTCCTCATCAGCCATCTCCCCTCATCTTCCCTTTCCTCACACCCTCTCCCCTCCTCCCCTCTTCCCTCCCCTCCCCTCCCCTCCCCTCCCTTCCACCCCTCTTCCCTCACTCCCCTCACCCCCTCTCTCCTCCCCTCACCCCTTCCCTCTCCCCTCGCTTCCCCTCACCCCCCTCTCCCCTCCCCTTCCCTCACCCCCTCTCCCCTCCCCTCCCTTCCACCCCTCTTCCCTCACTCCCCTCACCCCCTCTCTCCTCCCCTCTCCCCTCCTCTCGCTTCCCCTTACTTATCTGCCGTTGGTCAAGCATGAAGTCTTTCTGTGTTTGTTTTGTTGTTGTTTTTATCTGTTTAATTCTTTTGTTTGTGTTTTGTTTCTCTTTGTTTACGTTTTTTTCTGATTTTTGTTTGTTTGTTATATGTGTTTTTTATTTGTTTGTTATATCTGCTTTTGTCTTTTTGATTTTCCTTTTTTGTTTATCTGTTTTTACATTTGTTTTTTGTTTATTTATTTTGTTTGTCTTTGGTTTCTTTTTCTTTGTTTTTTGTTTTGGATTTTGTTTTATTGTCTTTT